ATTCTGAGCAGGCTTTATGAACCTTTATATGCTCATACACACATCACCATTCACGTACGAGTTCATCGGGATTATGCAGTAGCATCAGTGTCTCGGTACACTGTGCGGTATGTACGATGCACGTACTATGCATACGAAAACGTGCGACGTGACAAATCGCTAATCGACGATAATTTTGCTAATTATACTTCCCAACTGTCGTGAACTGGATCAATTGTGTCTTCAAAAATCAAACTTGATTTCGAAGATCCCAGCAGCTGCCACCATGATGAGTTCGAGGGTCTTAGATTTGGTAGATACTCATGATAATAGACGAGTCGGCAGTCAGGTTTGTGATGATGGTGACCATGTTTATTGAACTACGACGGATACCGGATATATCGGATATCGTATATCGTAACAGACACTGCACTCTTGGCCTCCAGAGCCTAAAAGTGCGTCGCAAGTCTTGAGTCAGTATTTGCCATACATTTTTTGGGGGGCAAATTTGCCGGAGGATGATCCCCAAAAAAATTAATTGAGGGAGAGGGGAGGGGTGGGGTCCCCCCGTACCCCCGGGATCGCCGCCCTGCTTACAACACGATAGCGACTATTTTCAAAAAATCAACTAGAGCTCACTTTCAATATATTTGTAGGCTATGTTCCATATAGCAATCATGTTCGGATGACATAATGTGTCCTTATCATGTCTGCTTATATTGAATTGATTTTTTTTCTTCTGCAACATACAAATCAAATTATGTTTTAGCAATATTTCATATTGATGAAAAACAAATTGATATCATTTTGTGACTCACAAGGCTATCGCACTATAGGTTGATTTTGGGGGGCGAAAGTAGTTGCTATCGTGTTTTAAATAACGACACAATTTTATGTATGAATTTAAGGATTTTTACCCCATGTCATGAATTCCACCAACAAAATTTGTCACCATTACGTTTTACTCACCTACTTCTGTCTTGCTTTCCTTGGTCCCTCTATAGCTTATCGGTCCATTATAGTAATTTATACGCTCCTCGTTTTCGTCCTCTATGAACGCAGTTTATGCCAGCAGACCAGAGATGTATCATAACCACACATCTCAAGGTGAACTTGGTCATTAAAGTTTCAAAATAGTTGGTATGACGGTCAAAAACAGTAGGTATAGAATAATGTTTCCTTTCCCTGTATACTCTTCAGGAGATCTATAGGGACACACTGAGAGACAATAGTTTGATATTTCATCCCGTTGCTATGACGACACTGACAATGATGCGGATGGCGGTGGTACTGAAGTGATGATGGTGATGAGCACTATGAATATGAATGCAATACGCTGATGGCGGTTATGAACAGTTGAGTTGAGTTTCAAACCATTTCATAATCCGATGGTTAAAATCAAACTGACTAAGACAATTGTCAAATTAGTGATTATTGAAGTACTAGTCAGCAAAATAATTACTACCTTGCTCAAAGTTGGATGAAATATTGATTCCCGACTTCTGAAGCTCAAACACTGGTGGTATTGAATGACATTTAACTCACTGAAAAGGTGATAGATTCGAGCATCAAATTGCTATAGAAAATGATTGAAGACATCAGTTATAAATACTGGTAGACAAAATAACGTAACGCTGAATCCTGGTATATAATAAATTTGACAGATTTGCATCCAAGCAAGGTGTCGCAAAGCTCGAGCTCGATCTGCAATAAGTCTTTAATCGGAGCATCTGGATGAAAGGCATCACTTACGGAAACTTGTGGACAAACTCTCGTTGCCAAAGCATGGTCATCTTCCTCTGGTTGAAAAGGAACAAGTGTTTTACCAAGGAGTTACCAGACCCACTAGTGGTCACGGCAGAAAGCACCCACTGGGTATCCGTGTCCTTTGAGAGTCAATACCCCGCTGGGAGGACACGACCCCGGAAATCTAAACTTAAAAGAAGAGGAAAATGTTTTCCCCAAGAGTAACGAAAACCCGACCACAATGCCTCTCTTGATGACGAGAGTCGAACAATGTCCGATAAGCGTCGATGACGGTGTAAGGGGTGTCACTGTTTTAATATTCGCCGATGCGTGCTTAAACAATGGCTTCAAATTACAAAATAAAGATTTATGTAAAACTTGAAAGTAACTTGAACCTCTCTGCTTGAAACCTTTTGTTTGAGTCGCTCCAGCGTCTTGCAAACTGAGATGCTTGTTTTAAACGACTAGTCAAAACATTACACGGGCTAGCTCCAATGAAACAAAAATAAAGGGAACAAACATTAAAGTGGATTAACGGTTGGCCAGGCTGTAATCTAAACAATGTAGTCCATTTCATCAGGATCGGTTGGCTTATGGTAATCGCTTCTAACTGGATGGAAGAGAAAAAAACCTACAGAACTAAAATACATATACCATGAAATTGTTCTTTCTTAATTGGTAATCAATAGAAAAAATATATGTTTCGGTATAAGCTTTCGCTTGTCAATACCATGCAGTTGATATTAAAATAGCCTTCCTGTGGAGGTTGTGTTGTTGGGCGCCCAGAAGTCACAATGATTGAGAAACTATTATACTCTATTAGATATCGACGCACGACTCAATAAACGTTATATTCAGGCGATATAAATTCATTGATTGGAATAATAGATGGTACCTGATGCGGTGGGTTTTCCTGTATCGTTCCCGCATCATTGCCGTTGCCATGGCACTCAATTTTCATCACTGTGCGGGATGAGCGGGAAGGGCAGCCAGTTGAAGAGAGCAGGGTGAAGGAGGGACATAGAGAGAGAGGGAGGGAGAGAGAGAGAGAGAGAGAGAGAGAGAGAGAGAGAGAGAAAGAGAGAGAGAGAGAGAGAGAGAGAGAGAGAGAGAGAGAGAGAGGGGAGGAGAAAGGGGGGGGGGGGGGAGGGGAAGAAGGGGACTAAAGAGTAAACGAGAGAGGAAGGGATGTAGTGGTAGAAATCTTGTCTCTATTATTATTATTTTCTCTACTTTCTTTTCTCTCTCTCTCTCTCTCTCTCTCTCTCTCTCTCTCTCTCTCTAGATAATTAGATTCTCCCTCCACATCCCTTTCTCTTTCTCTCTCCCATACTCCCTTTTTGCCTTCTTTCTGTATTTCTCCCCGGTCGCTCCTGAAAGAATCCATCATTTAAGACACTTGCATTGCACATCAAAACTGTTAGGGGGGAGGGGAGATATTTAAATTCAAATTCAAATTCAAAATTTATTGAACAGACATTTATGATCATTCGCGTTTTCTAAACAAAGGATCCAAAATATCAAATTAATGTGAAGGCTTACAAAGATAGTGTAGTGCAAATATCAAAATTGCAATAAACAGGAATAGCAAAAGAGAAATGGAAAAAAAAATGAACGTACTTCTTCGGGAATATAATTGGCCTACAGAGATGTTAAAGCCCCACTGTACTACTTATCAAAGAGAAATATAACTAATTTACCTGATTGGTTTTAATAATTATTTTATTTTTAATAGAGATATAAATCAATATAGTACTAGAAATTCAAACAAACTTTATGTTCCTTCATTTCGCTATAATTTGTCAAGAACTGTAATAAAATATAAAGGATCCATTATTTGGAACAACTTACCAGATTCTCTCAAAGCATGTCCGACATTGTCTAGTTTTAAGCGTATTTTTAAACACAAACTAATATCAAGTTACAATATACTTTTTTAGCCTTTATTAATTCTGCCTGTCCTTGTATGTGTGCATGTATGTATCAGTTAATGTAATGTCTATATTGTCAATATTTTGCTTTTAATTACTGAAGATTTACTTTTGGGGTTGTAGAAAAAGGCGGCCAGCCTAGATAGGCCAATGGCCTTTTCCGTTCCCTCACATCCCTACTCCACCCATTAATTATTTTTAGTGTTACTGTTGTTGTTGTAATTTTGTTCTTATTATATTTGATATATATTGCATTTTGTATAATTGTATTTTGAATGTTATAATGCTGTAAGTTTTTTATTGGATGTGAAATAAACTAAACTTGATATTGAACTTGAGATTCGATCATACATAGTGTGTCCTCCGAAGGACATAATAGCTACTTGCGCCCTCTATGTAGCAAACAATGCCTAAGCGGTGCCTGATGGTCCCCCTTTGATCCCCTTTTTCGTATGTCAATTGAGAGCTGATTTGATGAGGATAACCACCTGTCAGTGACCTTGCAGGGATGTCTAATCCCTCCTGGCCAAACTAGTGCAGCAGGGCTTTGAAGGGATATTTGAGTTTTGTTTTCAGACCGAAAATGCCTTCAAAGTGCATGGTTGTTGGTCTTATTCTTATCTATGACACTTCTAGTACCCTTTTAGAACCTAAAATTGCTATGAATGTAATTTTAGACCCCCAAATGTTTGAAATTTAGCCAATACGATCATACCAATTCAGCTCCACTTTAAAAAAAATACGGTGACCGTTAATTAATTATTTAATTAAAAATAACAATACATGGGCCGGCTGATTGGGCTTAATAATTATAACCAACACGAAAATGCCAACAAAAAAGCCACCATCGGGCATTGGCTGAAATACGACGTAAAAGGCGCTATTTCGTTTTTTCAACGGCTTTTTCAAATTATCTAATATTTGTGGCGGTACACCAGTATTAGAAATCGTTATATTTATGGATATTTCAGCCGTCTCTGAACTGAATTTGATCAAACAAAGATGACTGTGTCATGTTCTTTCAAATTTGACACTCAGTTTTTCATTATCTCACAATTTTGTTTTGTCTAGCGCCCTCTGCAACAGAACTCAACTATACCTTTAATAAATTACATTTCTCGTAATATTTTTACGTTTTCAATTCTCAACGAGGAAAAGAAAAAGAAACAAAAAGATGATATTAAATCATTTTATATAAATGAAAAAATTCTTTAGATATAAAAGTACATTTTAAACTCATATATTTGTTGCTTATAAACTCGAACATGTCGGGTCATTCTCAATATTCTGGAGGGGGGGGGGGGGGAGGATATGGTCCCCTGGCACTTGGAGAGTGGGGGGGATCCTATGGTGGGGATTTCCCTTCGAGGTTTCGCGTGCGCGCGCAGCTCATCGATCACCTGTGACCTAGCCTGGAAATCATGTGACTTTGTTTGTTATTCAAATCATTATCACCTGAGCGATCCAGATCCAAGAGTGTCAATTTATCAGTTTATCCGGGTGGTGATTTGTGGCAGTTTTATTTATCGGTAGGAAGCCTCCATCTTATAATATTGAAGAGTTCGGTGAATGTGAGCATGAGTTTTTGAGTGTGTGAATGACAGCCAAAGATTTGTGGCGCTCTGAGTTGTGTCTTTTGCTATATTGTATAACGTGTCGCCCATACCATGTTTTGTGTGTAGGCTGTATAATTTGTCAAGTGTTACTTACATGTGTAATCATGTATCGATTTCGCAGATGCCTAGTAAGAGAAGCATTGCTTTTTCATATGTGTATTAGGTTATGTGGGATGAGGAGCAATGAATCTTAAAATTATTACTTTGAAATTTCAAGTTGAAGGTATAAAATATTCATATTTGGAAATATTTCGAAACACGAGACTGAAAGTAAGAGTTGAGTGAGACTAGGGATTACTGAGTTCTGATAACGAAAATTGTTACTTCTAGATGTACAGAATCAGTCCAAACTTGCACGCAAGACTACAGATGAAAGATGTTTCCAAATGATTGTTGTAGCAAATTTATTAAAACCTGATAAGAAAGATAATGACAGTGGTGGTAAGAGCCCTGACCCTTTTGAATTTGATGTTGTCTCCTTACTCTCCAGTGTACAGACGTCAGTAGAGCATGTTAGTAATTATGATTTCCAGCAATTTTTTTTTGCAATTTTGTATATTCTTGGCCCAAGCAATTAACCTACTGTCTACTCTTAGCCAATTTCTTTCGAGTACTTGTGGTGAGATTTATAATTATATCTTTATTTTTCATTTTCATTTTTGTATTGCAGGTTTCGCAGCAGATGGCATATCGTTTTAAACGTGAACCGTTGGAACAGTATACGTCACCATGAAGATGTACTTCTTCTTCGAATCAATTACAAGTGACATCCTTTTCAAAGGGTGGGTTATCACAACAAAATGGGGTAAGTTGTCATACAAACTTGGACTGGGGGTGTTTCACAAAGACTAAGATTGACTTTAAGTTGGACTTAACTATAGCAGGCCATTCATGCCATTGTTTGTTATGTATTATTATTATTATTATTACCATTTACTGGAATTGATCTTGCTTGGACATTCAAATCATGGTCATAAATCTACAGAATTTATAATTGTTGATAGTTCATTATTGAAGGAAAAAATATTATCTGAAGATCATAATGGAGAGAGCAAACAGTGGCATGAATGGCCTGCCATAGTTAAGTCCAACTTAAAGTCAATCTTATTCTTTGTGAGACACTTCCCCGGGTGATATTCTGAGCATGGTTTTATCTTGTAAAATATTTCATTTGATCTTTTTAACAAGATCTGTATTTTTTCCCCCTTACTTATGACCCATCAGAAAGCTTTGTTTAGATATTAAGTAGAAAACCGCCGCAAAAAAAAGAAAATGCTGCATTTTTACTTGTTTAGATGAATGACACAATTGGCACCTGCGCGCAACAAAGGTCATGTACATATTGAGCCCTGTGATATAATATACAGGAATATGACACATATTATATTACACTTTTTAAAGTCATGTTAAAAAAAAATCTTCTGCGGTTTTGCCTTGACATATCTGAACGATGCTTTAAAAGCCAGTTTGTATCTAGTCTGCACTTGAGCAGACAAAGGTAAATTTCACCAAAATCATTAAAAAAAACACAGAGATACCACATACTGTATACCTGATAGGTGCTAATGAAAGACATAATTTTTCAATTTATATATGCACTAAGGGTGTATTTCATGTTGGAATGATGGAAGTATTTTTTCTAAAAGGGGGACAAATGTGTTCATGAAGCATCTCCATCATTTTAGGAGTAATTTTTGTTAATGTATGCAGTGACACCTCTCCATATTTCAAAGATCTGTGGATATTTGGGGTCATTTGTAGTTGTGCTAACTATGTGTACAAACTGTTCTAGTAATCATATTTATTGAGGATCAAATACCGAATTTTGTGGTTTGGCGAGTAATCAACTTTCGATTCACTCCTTAATAAACAAGCTGTTTGACAAGACCTAACAAGATGATGTGCAACCTTTGCTCAATATGGTCTTGTGATCATTCCTATGACGTCAGGAAAAGAGGAAAGCAAGGATTGCATTGATGAAATAACCAACACCTTGAAAAGTATGGGGGGGGGGGGAGGGGGAAGGTTTTTTTTTTCTTTCTATAGAACAATACAAATTTTAGATATTATATCAATTTCAACCAATGCGGGCTCAAGTATGTTTGAGCATGACAAAATTAATTTGTTAATTAGTTTGGGTTTGTGAGATCAGATGTCAAAGGTCACAGGATTGTCAATCAATGAACATGCATGTAAGCGGAGATATACTGGAGATGCAGTCGCATTCATTTTCTTGTAGAATGTTACCAGATTTTTAATCAAAATTTTATCTGAAGTACTACTTTCATTGATAAACTTTCAGATACATGTGTAATAAGGTTTCCACAATATATTAAATTGTGTATAGTCTGCATGTGTACATAGTTACGTCCTGTACATACACAATTAGTAATAATAATTACATCCTCAATCACAGAATATTTGGCCTTTGAACCTCTTTCACACTTAAAGAGAATGTAGTTCTGGGGAGAGGTGAAAAATAATTTGTGAGCATTATCATTCGTATTATATATACAAGTGTGGAAAAAAAAAATCAAAGAAAAATGTTCCTCGAAAAGCATGCATGGCTTTTCAAATGCCTCCATATTTTAAATATGACAAGTAACAGCTTATAAATAAAATCCAATTTTTATGCCACATGTTTGTGTATCCCATTTACATTTTTTCTGTGCATAGTGCTTGTTAGTTAACCAAGACTGTGCCAAATTTCTTATCATTTTGATGATTCCAGAACTTTTCAGTATACACCAATACTTACATGCTACATGATCAACCTTTTCTGATCGATTCCTCACTGTTTCTTTCACAATGACCAGAACTCAACTTTATCTTTAATGACCCCTTCTTCCTCCCGTTTCTGTCTGGATCTAGAGTTTGCCTTGTCCTGTCTTCTCTTTGCCTTCGCCGCGGTGGTCCTGGAGGTGTTGGCGACTCTCAGCACCTACCTGACCCGGCGCTATACCACCAATCCTCTCGAGATGAACTGGTCCTCGCCCATCAATGGAAGATCACCCCTTCTGGCCCCTCTCCAGATACCGAGCAGTGTGTCAAAGGTCAAACAACGGAGGTAATTTTGACAAATATAATTATTTATGGTAGATCTTTTTTATTAACTGTAACCAAGTTTAGATCATTCAACTAATTTTGAAAAGAGGCCTTCCAGAGTTGGTACGTTTAATCACTTTGTGCAAATAAATGATATCGATCTGCCCTACATTTGTTAGAAAATGTACAGTAACCACGAAATCAGTCGAGAAAGATGAGAAATTCAAGTCTGTCAACCTGACCATGTGTTGAGCAGCATACATCATACATGGTTTCAAAGAAGTTTTTGTTTATTTACAATTTGCTGATCCAAATACTGCTTATCTACTGCATGAAAAAAATTGGGAGACTGTAATTCTTGAAGCGGCACCGCACTACTTGTAGCTACTTGCGCCCTCTATATAGCAAACAATGCCTAATTGGTACCCGTTGGTCCCCCATGATCCCCTTTTTCTTATGTTAATTGAGAGCTGATTTGATGAGATAGCCACCTGTCATTGATCTTGCAGGGAGGTCTAATCCCTCCTGGTCAAACTAGTGCATTCAAGCTTTAAATGCCATTACCAGAATTCAAGATAAGCTTGAATTTTTGGAATGGTAATTCCAGCTGTAAAATTGACATAATTTTGCTGCCTTTGGCGTTTGCTGTGAATGGAGGGCCAGTACATTTTTCTTTTACAATTTTTTCTTTTTTTAAAGCAGTTATTATGTTATTACCATATTTCTTAATTACAGGTGTCGGATCCACTTTGGTCGGACGATCGTCCACATCGTCACCGTCAGCTTGGGCTACTCCGTCATGCTGGTCGTCATGACTTACAACGCCTACTTCCTCATCTCGGTCGCTGTCGGATCTGCCTTGGGCTACCTCCTGTTTGCCCCGTTCAGGAAACGCCCCAAGAAGAGGACGCCCCCTGTTGACCGACGAGCCCAGAGAGACAGCTTGACCAGGAGCGGGCAGATGGATCTGGGCGGTGAGACGAGCGGTCCCGGAACCGACGCAGAAGGATCCTCCAGAGTCAATTACTATGGAACGCTGTAGTGAGCCATGACTGATGTGAAGGCCGTTGGATCAAGCCTGGGCACGTCGCTCGTGTCCTCTGCCCAGAGTTTAATCTTTGTGTAATTTTGTTGAGGCACTCTGTACCCTGGAGAATAAATGAGACCTACATGCAGCAGGATGACAAAAGCAATTGTGATTGATTTTCGTCATATGCCCCTCGAGGTCAGTGAGCATATATGGTAGAAATACTCCTCAGGGAGTGGAGATGGTGCTCAAATTGTTTGCACTTATGAATCTGATGACAGCAGTCATGATATCTTTTCTTGCTGAAGAGACAACAATAGTAGGCGCAACATGTATATCAAGTCAAATTATCATTATCCACTGGGGGAACTGAATCTGACGTGTGCTATCAGAATTTCGACAGTAGAATTTTTTTGATTACGAGTGCTGATGAAAATGTGTGGGGCAACTAAGCGATTGCCCCAAATTATATTTACGTTGAGTGCTTCCAGCTGAAATGGTTTTGTATTGGTGCCGTCTTGAAAGACATTTTTGTATAATGTAGGATGAACCGAAGGACTCGGGATTTGGTCTTATGCTGAAGTACTGTCACAAAGAGCCCACAAAATGAATACCGGTAATGATATCCATGTATAATTATATGATTACAGAAGCACCTGGAAGCAGCTAAAACTTTATTATTCATGTTTTTAAAAAAAATTGATGAAAAGATAATCTGCAGCTTGACTTTAATTCATGAACCAGTGTTCTATTGCTTGCAGACCTACATGTAATACGTCTCTTCCCCTCCCCTTTCTCTCTCTCTCTCTCTCCCTCTTTTTCTGTGTCAGATCTGTCTGTCTCTCTCTTTATCTCTTGAAAATGAATTTGAAAAAGAAATCTACATGTACATGTAAGATTTATATTTTTGTAGTGTAAAAGAATACTTAATTTGTTAGATTTATTTTTGTTTGACTATTTAGTTTATAAAACAAAAGCTTATAAAAAATAGAAATAAGATACTACTGTTCAAAGAAAAGAAAAAATAAGACATGAAAATACAAATTTATATCATGCAATCATTAATATATTTTGATTTATTTTGTGCAAAATGATTACCTATGTTGTACACAGAGTATTCTCTAATTACAATGTATTAAAGTTTATGTTTAGTATTTTGTATATTAGTTTAAGAGGACAAATAGAATTGTATCTTTTCTATATTAATCTACATGTATACAGATAGAACACAACCTCTAAAATGCTCTTTTTTTGAAATCCTGAATTGTTCAGAAATCATGCTTACCAACAGTCTTTATGTCTTTACGGTGTTTGTGTTATTCGCAACTAATGAAATGAAAACAATTTAACCTTCAGCAAATTTATTTTGCTCAATTGTAAGACAATGAGACGGTGCTTCAAACGTGCTGAAGACATTTTTCTGGACAATCAAAACTATGTTTTAAGCACTTATCTTTTCATGCATTAGATACTGATTGTATGAAAACTGGTGCTTTTTAAAGACAAAAAGGGGTTTATTTGATTTTTGTTTGTATATACAGTGTAATGTAGTTTCACTCTTTGTTTTTGTGTGAGCAAACGTTAATAAAGACCTAGAACTGACATTTGAAACCCAATAAGCTATTATCTAATATATGAAGATACATCAGACCAAGTTTAATGAATTCCAATTCCTCTCGTCCATCTTTTCTTTCTAGATATCTATTTCCTATTCAAAGCTGTGAAGTTTCTTTTTCTTTATCCGAGCAATAACATAAAAATAAGAAAGGGCAGAATATAATAATATATATATATTTATGCTATGCAGTATATATATTTACTCGGAGGGAAATTATGAATTCCCCTGTATAGAAGATAAGATATGTTGATAAATATAAAAGAAAGGGAAAATACTCACATTCTTTTTTTAAAACTTGGCTTGATAAAATTATAAGGTTGACAATTCTCATTAACTGTGTAAACCAGAATTTAGAGTCGTATCTTTTTGCATCTGTTTGTATATTTCGCTCATTATACGATATTAACCTCAACTCATGTGCTAGATATGCATCTTGCAAGTGCTAGTAATCTTTATTTAAGGTCAGTAAATGTACTTTGTATTTTCTGCACGTTGTTTATTCACTTAACTTTCATTTCAAATGAAATCTGTATTTTTGTACTTAAAAATGACTGCCTTAAAAAAAAAAAGTTAGCTTTTGATATGGTATTAAAGGTACTATTTAATTTTTGAAAGACGGGTTTAAAGAATCAGTTCAGCAATTGTTTGAAAATGTGACAGGGAATTTGATCTGTTAAGATACATGAATCTCTTTATAATTATCTTTTGAATATGATATCTATGATTAGGGGAGTCAATATTAACTTAAAAACTTCAAATTTTCAATCATATAATTATCACTCATGCATCTGTGAAAATGTTTTAATTCTTGTGCAATAAAATGAGGACAAATAAAATAAAATTGGCTATTCATGAATGCTTTATTCCAGTCAGAATATGGGACCAGATACAGTGTACATGTATAAAATATAATCAGGTTTCAGGATTCTTTATTTGCAAGAATTGCAGTGAAGCAATTAGGCATGAATAACAACATGACAAGAACCAGCAATAAAACAGTAAGTTTGATCACTTAATTCAACAAGTTATTCACATGTCAAACTTTAATGCATTATGTATTGATGTATAGCAAAAGTTTGAACTAGTGATGTAGTTCAATCTGGTTTTACATGTACACAAATTATTACAAAAAATTGGCACATGTATTTAAGAAAAAATAGGTTGAAGAATAAATGGCTATATGCCATGCACATAACAATGGTGGAAATTTCCCAGGATTTCCTGTTTACCAAGTCTCGTGCTTGCAAAAACAATAGAACACCAAATAAATAAAGACATTAATGTAGTCTGACAGTCAACTGATAAAAGATGCCAAAGTCTGAAGTCTCTTCCTATTGTAGAATTAAAGCAATTTAAAGGTAGAGTTAAAGGTTGAATTCTGGGGTGAGGTGAAGAATAATTTGTGAGCGTTATCATGCAAGTGTAGAAGAACATAAGGGCAAAAATGTTAGCTGAAAACGAGGCCCTTCAAATGCCTTCATATTCCAAATATGACTCGAAACAGCTTACAAATGAGCCCCAATTTTTTTTGCCACATTAATAAGACTGGACCAAATTCATTATCATATTGAATTTTTGATGATTCCAGGACCTTGCTGTACACATCAATACATAATTACATATATGCTACATGATAAACCTTTTCTGACCGATTTCACACTGTTTCTTTCACAATGGGATAGCATGACCAGAACACAACTTTATATTAGACCGTTTCGATTTTTCAAGGCTACTCGTTTAGTCTGACCATATTTTTCATTGAGTGTCGAGAGCAGCCACATGCCACAGTACAGGGTCTATGTAGTGCAGTCAATTGTGTAGTCTGCATTGCTATACTGTTCAGACACTATTATGCATTAGCCATAGCTTACGATAATATGCTATTCAATTTAGTCTCTGTTAGCGAAGTAACAGCTCTCTGAAAACTTTGAAAATTGGAAGTTTACTCCCAAAATACTCCCAATGCAGAATATACAGTTTTAATTTGCTTTTGTGCTATACTGAAGGGAAAATATAGGTTATTTCTACATGCTTGTATTATACATTTATTCCGTTAGTTACTGATATAAAGTTGTACTTTCATTGGATAAGGTCTTTAAGACTTGACTATTCTCAATATAAATGTATTGGTACTTCAACATGACAATGAAATGATGTGGAAATAGCCAATTTTAGAGTTTTAGACCGACTTTATTTATAGTATGTACATGTACATGTAGCTTCACCAGAGCTGACCACCTGTTAACAATAGACCATACAATGCCAATATAGGAGTTGCTATGTCAGACGTGCATTACCAGGAAAAGAAAGGTAATATGGAGGTATTGTATGAAAGAATGCAATTCTTTTCTGGGCATGTGCTGAGCTGGGGGAAGTTACATACTTGTACCACTGTCTCTTGTTAGCTCACTAATGATTGACAGATGATGTCACAAGATGAATGAGATCTGGAACATTTTTTTTAGGGTGGAGCTTAGCAGGACTGGTCTGAGAAAATTATTTTTTAAAATATTAAAAAAATCTATGAAATATATCTAGATGTTTGAATAACGGCCCTGCACATCAACAGGAATCGACTTATATTTGGATGTCACCCGACCTTTAAGCATGGTTGCAACAGAAAAATGAACATACCTGTACATGTACTGTACATAGCAGATTGAACAAACATCACTTCCCACATGTCACATATACAAAAACATAAGCATAAACATGAAGAAACAAGCTCTCACATTCAAAAGCAGAGTCTTTTCCATTTTATGTAAAGAATGATGATGATTAGGATCAATAATTTTTGCAAATTAAATAAATATAAAACAGTCTCTTTTCTGTCAGTGCTGTAGTTTTAGAAGACCCTGTCAAAGTTTTGATCTGGTGCAGCCGTTGATGGTCTGTTTGGTGGATTCGCATGGTGGGGATTACGATGGTTAGCGGCAGCGGCAGCGGCAGGATGCTGCTGTCGCCTCCGCGGGGTCAGGTACTCAAACATAGATTGGGTATGCGTGGAGAGCATCCTCTCCAAGCTACACGGCATCGGATCCGACCAGAAGAAGTCGTGATCCAAGGCGATAGCCGCGTCCATCCTCCGTTTGGGATCAATATTCAGGAGTTTGTCGATGAGATCCAAGGCCTGTTGGTCCTTGACGTAGCTCCGCAGGCGATCTTTGACCTTTCGCTTGTGACCCTTCGGGAGTTCCAGGGTGTTGGAGAGTTCAAGCTTCTCGAGTCCCGGCCAAACGGCGGACGTGATCGAACCGCACAGGTGACTGATGAGCGTCAGCTGATGTTGCTCCGTGTTGCCTTGCATGATGGGACTTCTCGTCCACATCTCCGCCATGATGCAGCCCGCCCCCCACAGGTCAATCGCAGGTCCGTAGTTACGCTCGCCCAGCAACAGTTCGGGTGGGCGGTACCAAAGCGTCACCACCCGGTTCGTGTAGCGGTTCGGCGCATCGCCCTTGGGTAGACTGAATGCTCGGGCAAGCCCAAAGTCGGCCAGCTTGAGCACGCCGGCCTTCGTGATGAGAATATTAGCCGCTTTCATGTCCCTGTGTAGTACCTTGTTGCTGTGTATGTAGTACAGCCCATTCAGGAGCTGCTTGATGACGGACTTGATTTCTCCCAGAGAGAACTTGACGTTGGTGTTGCTCAGTAGCCCGGCCAGGTCATGCTCACAGAATTCAAACACTAGATAAATGCTTCCTTTGTACCGGTTATATGCGGTAGCTAAAATGAGAAAAATCAAGAAAAAACACGAACTTTAAGTAAATCAATTGAAAAGTAACCCCTAAGAACTAATCAATCATACAGATTTTGCAGAAATATTTCTTAGGGATTTCAAAAGATATTGTTAGCTCACAAAGTTCCTTTACACATATGATGGCCTTCACCCTTAGATGACTGGATTATTTTGGAGATCATACAGCAACCCCTCTTCCCCTTAAAGAGATTGGGCATCTTTGCTTCAGATTCTAAACAAAATCCTGGATTTAGCTTGTGCTGCAATTATAATTATAAATCTTTAGGTAAGTCAGGTACCCCATAAATTTTACAAGCCGGTCGCCTGTCTGATTATCAAGATATTTATGATTGGAAATCGAAATCAAATTTTGCTTTTTCCTAACGGTTTTTATAACACTACAGTCTACTGGGGAAAATGAGTATGGTAAAACCGGTCCCTCTGCATGGGGGATTATCATGGGCCAGATAGCTATGAAAATCATACACACCTTTGGTCCTGCAAATCTCATAGAGCGGAACTACGTTTTCATGTCGAAGAAGCTGTAGAATTCTTATCTCTCTAAGAGCTGTGATAGGAAACTAAAGAAGCAGAGAGAAATGAACATTAGAAATGCAAAGAATAATGATGAAAGATCAATTGTTAAAGATGAAGTTGAGTTCTGGTCATGCGATTACATGTATATTGTGAAAGAAACGGTGTGGAATCTACCAGAAAAGGTTGATCATCTAGCATATAAGAATTTGTGTATATTGCAAGGTTCTGGAATCATCAAAATGATAAGAAATTTGGCCAAGTCTTGGTAAAGTTACAAACACTGTTCACAGAAAGATGTATATGGGACTACACGAACACATGGCGTAAAAATCCTACCCTGGATTTTTACGATTTTACATGACATATTTAGAATATGAAGGCATTTGAAGAGCCATGCTTTTCAGGGAACATGTCTTATCTGATGTTCTTCCACACTTGCATAGTAAGAATGATAACGCTCACAAATTATTTTTCACCTCTTCCCAGAACTCAACCTCCTCTTTAAACACTTTAAAGTACATGTATTAGTGAGCTTTTCTTCCACTCTGGGGCATTTCTTTTCTTTTCTCTAGACTTTTCCTTTATCTATTCATTCAATTATTCACTCTTATTCATCTTTTATAATCTTTTGCCATGGTTAAAAATAGAGGGGTCACAACCCCGATATTTAAAAGACAGAAAAATCATAGACAAATTTTTTAAATGAATGATTTCAGATGCATTTCATATCACCACCCATATAACTTTACTACCTGTTAGTTTTTTGTTTGACTTTTGATCAGTAGTTTGAGAAGTTTTCGTGGAAATGTGCACCCTGTTAACAGGTTGGTTTCAATAATAGGAGTTATGGAAGGGGGGGGGGGGTCGAGAAGGGTAAAAATAAGAGAGAGCAGTCAAAGTTTGAGGAAAATCTGATGAAGCGAATCTTTGAGCTTGAGATTGCTTAAATTCTACAAGGTACCTAAATGATTAGTCTTGCGATAAGTTCATTAGTCCATAACACATGGCGAGCTGGTCACAAAAGAAATCATAATCTATCGAAACTTTAACACTTCCTATCTTTCCTTTTTGTTCTTCTTTCTTCAGATTTTCTTCAACTCTGGACCTATTTTTTTCATTTTTCATTTATCAAAGCAAACTTTATACCAGCACAGACTTTCTCTTTAAACGTAGCAACTTTAAAAATATTTAAAAGATGTTACTTAGTACTTACCCCCTCTTTCTCATTCTCCATTAGCACCTTCTTTAAGGCCACAATGTTCTTGTTCTTTTTGTGCTTTGCCTTAAACACCTCCCTAGGAGAAAAAAAAAATGTACAGTTAGATTATATTCTTAAATAGGTGCACATGTGGACACAATTCCTGTAAGTTCTTCTTTATAAAAACCTGTTATTAGATACAATCTCCACTCATTCTGATAATCAACTCAGCCAATGAAAATAAGCCACAAAAAACTTGGTCCACATTGCCCACCTACATGTATGTCGCACACACAAGACTTTTTTCATGTTCGCAACATTTTTTGTTGTTGGTAGAGTTGCAATTTTTGCCTTGGAGATTTGAGCGATAGCTTGCTAGCTGCTAGCGCAGTGACCAAGAAATGCACTCGATGAATACTAAGTGGCCAGGCCGGAATTGACAATAGATTTCCCATAATTGACAGTAGGGGTGCTGGTCCGAGAATGAGAAACGTCCGCATGAACAAGGATATCCTTGTATATGCAGACAAAATGCGCCCTAAAATATCCAGAAAGATAAGAATGATTTTGGATCGCCTGCATTTTCGCAGACCTGCTTTTTGTCGGCGCTCTGCGATTTTCGTGTTCCCGATCCGCACGCTGGTGATGTGAAAAACATATTCCGCATTATAAAATACCTCCAGTTCACCGTCTACTTTTATGGGTTATCCCTCTTCCCGAGGATTCATCACTCATAATGTGAAAGTCTCTGTACAAAGTCGATGTAAAACGTATCAAGAAAATCATTGCGGAATCCATTTTATTCGCATCACCAACGCCCCGTTCGGAAATTAGAATCGTCAGCGAAAATGCGGATATTCCTTATTTTTGCGGACGCATCTGTCCATGTTTACGAAGATGATCCTCGTTTTTTGCAGACGATCCTTATTCTCGAAAAGGCGCCCCTACTGAATTGAATAAGCATTGATAAGATTAAGATTAAAAGATTGGCGAATTGAATTGATTTCTATAAATTCTATTTTCCAGCTGGTTTTGTTTCATCAATTGTCACCAATAAAGAATAGTGTTTGAGAATTTTGAGAATCCATAGACCATAATTTTGTTTTAGTACACATGCGCGCACAAAGTGCTGTTATTGCTATACAACTTGTGCCAAAGCCAAGGTCTCCCTGCCTAACCCCGCGGCGCTCCCAGCCCGGAGCCTTCGACCTTCCCCGATCAAAGGAAAATGAAAAGCGATGATGGCGCGTTACTTACCCAAATGTACCCTGACCTATCTTCGCCAGTTTGTCATATTTAGACACTTCTTCACAATATTTGAATTCCGGGGATTCTCTTTGATACGGAGCCATTGCCATCTTGTAGCCTTGGTTAGCCGACGATTGGACAGGCGGCCCCGAAGTTCCCGAAAACGATGCTCCCTTACTTTCAGCCATTTTTTTCTTCTCCAAGTAACGTAAACCTTACGTGAAAATAAACGAATGGGAACTGCTATTGATTTCAAGCTTTCCATTTAATTAATAAAAGTTAACATTTCTAAAAAGAGTTTTAAAATTCTAGAAAATGTTTTTTAGAATTCAGAATTAGTATGAAGGTCAATTTTTTTTCTCACAATTCATCAACAAATTATGATAACAGAACAGAAATACGAAATATAATTTTCAATAAAACCATAAAGTCTTGGATTTTGCCGAACCCGGAAATCCACCAATCAGCGTTGTTGTCTTGGACACACCTCCAAAGCTCGTCTTCTTACCGGTGTTTTTCTGCTCTGCTCAGAGGAAGGGGACCTGAAAATTGTGCAAATATATCGTTTTCTGAAGCAAATTTTTATAAGGTAAATGTGAATTTGAGTTTATGCATTCTTGTAGATTATCTGAAATTATATAACGTTTTGAATGTATTCTCTTTTTTCTCATTTTGATTATGAAAATGTTGGTAGACCTAAATCTTGTCATGCATGTTGTTGGGCATTGGTAGTCTATGATCATGATGATGAATATGATGATGAGCTGAGTATGACGGAGTGTGACTGACAGTATCAAGACATATGATCTAAGTGGTGACATCCAGGAAATTTAAGGGAAGGGGGAGGGGGGGGGGGAGGGGAGGGGAGGGGGAGGGGAGGGGGAGGGGAGGGGGGTGGGGTCACACATAGGAGCATCACTATCCTGACTGTGTAGTAAAACAGGCAACACTGGCACTAGACCGAATTTTCCGTCTCTTTCGTTCGTTAGCCTCTTATTGGGGTAGGGTCGGCTCTCTCTTTAGAGACGGAAGCCGTTTATACACATGTCCTTGCTAACGCCACGGCCAGTCCTGGTCGTAGCGTTTTGCCCCCAAAATCCCCCAAAATGTCATTTTACCTCGAGCATGTTATATTGTAAATTAGGCCTAGGCTATAATAAATCAGTTCCACTTACCAACTTGACTGAAATAATCAGTTTAATAGTCCCTTTTTAGGAAATTATGGGTCAAAATCGAAATCCATTTTGAAAATCTTTTTCAACATGGATTCCGATTTTGACCCATAATTTCCTAAAAAGGGACTATTAAACTGATTATTTCAGTCAAGTTGGTAAGTGGAACTGATTTATTATAGCCTAGGCCTAATTTACAATATAACATGCTCGAGGTAAAATGACATTTTGGGGGATTTTGGGGGCAAAACGCTACGACCAGGACTGGCCGTGGCGTTAGCAAGGACATGTGTATAAACGGCTTCCGTCTCTAAAGAGAGAGCCGACCCTACCCCAATAAGAGGCTAACGAACGAAAGAGACGGAAAATTCGGTCTACACTGGCACCAGCACATTAACGCGACACATTTGAAAGCCTGCGGTATGACACTTTCAAATGTCCTACTAATTAATTAAATGGGATATAACCCATCACAAATAAATAAAGAATGGAACTTACAAGTTTCGTTAGTGTAAATTTCCTTGGTTTCAAGACATCTGGCCTACTTGTTTGCTTATAGCCCATCCGCAATTCAGCTAACGTGCGCCATTTTCGGATTTTATGACCTTTGTTTTTAAAGACCGTTCGCGACCGCTTACGTCCGAATATATGCATGTTGATATGGACGCGATCGGTTGTGTACACAGCTCAGCGGTAGGCTATTGTGTACGAGCGTTTTTAGAGTTTGGTATACATTTCAGCCCAACTATTAGCCGACAGAGGTGGCGGAGCATTACTTTATAATTCCAAAGTATAATATTCAATTTAGCAATTTTGGGGTCTTAATAATAATAATATTAATAATGATACTAATAATAAGCATTTCGAAAGTCTATCTAGAAATTTGTACGGAATAAGAGGCCTAGGTGCTTTAAACCTGCGATAAAGCAATAAATGAAAACGTCTGCGAGATAAGAAAACTACCCGTCAGATGTTGCGCAAGAGCCACGGGTCACGAGTCACGTATGTTTTCACCGGGGCCTAGACAACTCGCCACAAAAACAACCCGCCCCAAGACAGCTCGACACAATACCCTGGACATCTCGCAACAATACCCTGCACAACTTGCTACGGTCGAGTTTTCCAGGGTATTGTGGCGAGATATCCAGGGAGGGTATTGTGTCGAGTTGTTCAGGGGCGAGCTGTCTTTGTGGCGAATTGTAGCGCATGTAGAAGTCAGTGTATGGTGTGCGTAAAGTGCGCAGTGTTGATGTCATCGCAATCGAGGAGAGAATCATGCTGCCGTCTCTGTAAAAGAAGGAGGAAAAAGGGCTTTAAAAGTTAGTTTTGAATTCTTTTTTTCTATTATAAAAATAATTTAATAATCTTAAATACTGTAAAATGTAAGACAAATATAACATAACCTATGTTATGTTGTATTTGTCTTACATTTTATGTAGTATGGTAGTAGTATGGTATTTATTCATCAACATATCGCAGCCAATGGCTGAATTGCATGCATGATTTACAGAGATTTTATTTAAAAAATATTTAAAAAAAAACATCATATTTACAGTTCGTTATTTAACAATAATTCAAAGACAAGAACCTCAATTAAACTCATAAAGGGAAGACAGAAATAAAGCAAATATGGAGCGGGGAGATAAGGAAAGAAGAAAAGGAATGTTGAGGGAGAGGGAGTGGAGAGAGAAGGGGAGAAGAGAAGGGAGTGTGAGGGAGAGAGAGAGGGAGCGAGAGAGATAGAGAGAGAGTGAGAGAAGAACAAAGAGAGAGAGAGAGAGAGAGAGGAACACAAACACAGAGCTGGTATAATATAAAAAAAAATTGAAAATGTAATTGAAAATGTAATTGAAAATAGTTATTTCATCCACATAAGTGGGAAGGAATTGATTTGTAAAAAGTTATTTTGAGGCAAGAGTAAATACATTTCCACAAACACAGAGCTGGTATAATATAAAACAAATTAAAAATGTAATTGAAAAGTTATTTTATCCAAGTTAATGGGAATGCACTTCAGAATGATTGATTTAAAGAAAAGAATTTTGAGGCAAGAATAAATATATTTCCACATTTATAGGCAACATTCAAACATTAATCTTCAATTCACTATTTAGAGTTCAGCAGTTTGATAATTTGTGGGATCGCACTATTTTTGTAGCGTTGTGTCCTACACTTTAGTTCTCGTAATCGGTTGCTGTGTCTTAGTTGTCTGTTTGATGATTGGCTTTCCGGTAGCCAATGACGAAAGTTCTTGAACAGCTTGTTGGCAAAGACCCGACAAAGGTCCTCTCTCCTTTCTTTAAGCGATACCAGGTCGCAAGCGCTGAGAGCACGTTGATAAGACTCGTACCCACCGGCTAGTATGGTGCGAAGGGCACGCTTCTGGATACGCTCTAATTGGTTCTCTTGGTGCAGGGTTAGGGAGAAGTGCCAAACTACACAACAGTACTCAAGGATCGGCCTGATGTATGAGGTGAATACGGTGAGGAGGTCCGTTGTAGGCATAGCAAAACGTTTGAGCATCCTCAAGATATAGAGCTTTTTTGTGGCTCTCGATGTGACATTATTGACATGATCTGTCCAACGAAGATCGTTCCTCACGATCACGCCAAGCAGTTTTACATGCTGACTTTCTGGTATGATTTGATCAAGAAGCTTTATCTCGGGTGGAGGCAGTTGGCGACGCGCGAAGGAGATTTGCATGACCTGACATTTGGTGGGATTGAGGCGCATGTTTGATTCCTCACACCACTGTTCAAAGGAAGAGAGGGTCGTGTCGAGGTTGCATGGGGAGTTCACTCGGCGAGTTTCGGCCACTGTGAGATCGTCAACATACTTCCATCGGTGGCAATCTGACGTCTGAAGTGCGTCGTTGACAACAGCGAGAAATATGAGCGGTCCGAGACGGGTGCCTTGAGGAACCCCTGCCGACGTGGTAAGGTTCCTAGAGAGTTGGTTCTTGTAGCGAACCTGTTGGGTACGCTCTGTGAGAAAGCTGCATACCCATGGGATGAGGGATGGTCTTGCACCCATGGTGAACAGCTTATTGATTGCGACATTGTGGTCAACTAAATCAAATGCTTTAGAGAAGTCTGTAAGTACCACTGTTGTGATTGATCCGGACTTGTCAGCATTGGAGTGTAAGTATTCTAGCAAGTTCAATAAGTAGTGGCTTGTTGATAGGCCAGAGCGGTTGCCAAATTGCTGAGAGTCGATTACAGGGGAGATATCTGCCATGAGCCATTTGTAAGCAAACAGTTCAAGGAGCTTTGCAAAGAAGTCTGTTAGGGCTATAGGTCGCAGCTTGTGCAAGGTAGGCGGGTTTTCCTTTGGAACTGGAACAATGAGTGATTTCTTCCAACAACTTGGAACTTTGCCTTGCTCAAAGGAGGCATTGAAGATGTTGCATAATGGGGAGCTGAGTTCAACGGCGAATTCACGGATCAAACGTGGGGATATTCCATCTGGACCGCCACTTTTTCCAACGTGCGTTTTGGACAGTTCCTTGTAGACTGACCATGGTTGGACAGAAGGTATCGAGTGTAGTGGAAAGGGTCTATAAGCAGGAATGTTCTTTGCTGCAAGGGGTGGTGTGTCTTTGGCTATGCTAACAAAGTAGGAGTTGATAGCATTGGCGATTGCTACCGAATCAGTCGCGTCAACATCTTCCAGTGCGATTGACATATCCTGTTGCATGTTGGAAGACATGACCTTGATATAGCGATACCATGCGCTGGGATTTTCGTGTTTGAGGTGTTGGACACGATCTCGGTAAAAAGCTTCCTTCGCGTGACAGATTTCTCTCTGCACTTTGTTGCGGAGATTGTTCTGGTTTGAGGAATTATTGTGGAATGCCGTCTGTCGCTGGTTTATTAAACCCTTGACTCCGACGGTCATCCACGGTTTGTCTGTCGCATGTAGTCTGATGGTCTTACATTGGAAATAAAGATTAATGGCAGTGTTAAGCTCGTTATAGAAATGTTCACACTTACGCTCAACATCGTTTTCATCATAAACGTTGCTCCAGTCGTGATGCGTTATCCAGCTACCAAAGGGACGGACACTAGATTCACGGAAAGGTCTGACAACTCTGTGTTGCACTTTATTTTTATGGGGTGGCTGTTTTTTCGGCAGCCAAGTAACTCCATTGTGGTCGCTGTGTCCAAGTGGGGCTACAATGTGAACAGGGGAGTACAGATGATTCAAATTGGTTACAATTTTGTCCAGCACAGCTTGATTCCGAGTTGGACGGTTGACCACTTGCTTCAGGTTTTGCCCCCTAAGGAGCGGGGACACATCGGTTCGGTTAAAATCACCCATGATAATAATACCGGCCGTGGGATGGTTAGAAAGAATCTCGTCGACTGCATAAGTGAGATACTGGACCAATTCATCTGCATGGGTGTTATCAGGTGGCGAGTAGATTGATGCGATGTAAATTGATGAAACACTCCTTGGCAATCTACTGGGTCTGATTTGCGTCCAGACTATTTCATGCTCTTCCGGTACATGAAGTTTCACGTGAGTCGGGTTCATGTCGGTTTTGGCAAAGATGGCGACTCCGCCACCTCGTCGGACTGTCCTGTGCTTCGAAAACAAAGAATATCTAGGAATATTGTACACGCTTTGTGGGATGCTTTCACTGAACCATGTCTCACTGACACACACAATATCCGAGTCAAAACTTTGAACAAGGCATACAAATTCATCAAACTTGTTAGTTAATGACCTGGCGTTGGCCATATATACGGAGGGGAGCACATCTCTGTGTGAAACAGATGTGGAAGTTACTATCGTTGCTATTTGAGTCAGATATGGAGTTCGTCGTGGTTGACTTACATGATAGTCTCTAGCCGAGACCATAACTGGTATAGGTCGTGAATGTAGTCCTCTTCCTCCTCTCTTTCCTCGCCTTCTCCATCTCTTTCGCTTGCTGTCTCTCCAATTCTCTACTTTGGCCTCGCTGTATTGTACATGAGTCAAACACGGCTTGCGTAGTAAATGGAGGAATTTTAAGTTCAGGCAAACTTCTCTATCCAGTTGACACTCATCATTGTAGAAGGGGCATAGTCCATGCAAGTACACTGCTGAATACTGGATGAGTTTCAAAGCTAAAGTCATTCTCACTTTGTAAAGATTTACACAATGGTCAATTGTTGATTGTTCTTGAGTGACAATGCACCGATGTCCAGAATGACAGGCTGGTTGAACACACTGAAAGGGATTCTCTCTGTGTAGTGACAGTGAATGATCTTAATACTAAAAAAAATCCACCCCGTGCATACCACATACATGCAGTGCTAGAGGTCCATACGCATTAGCATGGACTCTCTATGCTTTGCTGGAGTGGGTGGGGTACCGTTCTCGCTATCACCAATAGTTATACATGTACGTTCCCATATCCCATTTCAGATGAACTCTGAGTTTTGCCATTCTTTGATATGACGCGGCCAAGTCGCATATTTTGCGCCTCTGCGCAGTGCGCATGCCGGCGTTGATTGCGTGTGTGTGTGTGAGCATTGTTTCCCCCAACACTGCAACAGTAAGCATAGTGATTTATCAAGAACAACATGACTTCAAAATGGATCATTATAAAAAAATGTATTAAATATTGTTAAACATGCAAATTAAAAATATTCGGATGTGTGATGGGCAACAGCAAGTAGAAGCATACAAATATTGTCTGTTGGCAAGCTGTGCAAAACTCCTCTAAAATATATACTAAGAGACAGGTCCACAATTAAGGGTTGGTTCGTTGGCTCGTTGACCAAAGGACATAATAGTTTTTTATGGGATACTCTAAACAGAGCTGCCAACTATTACAGATTTTCCGTAATTGGTAAGGAAATTAACGATCATTACGGAATGTTGTCTAAACTTACGGATTACAAAAAAAACCACCCCCAAAACCACCCCCAAAACCACCCCAAAAACATTCTAATTTTTGTTGTGGGTGGGGGGGAGGGCATAAATATGATTTATCATAGCGAGTGCTGTGCAGTATGGCGGCCATCCAACACTCACTGAGAAAGACGGAAAAGTATTCTCTTAATAGAAGCCAATTTTTCATGGAAAACTGATGTGTTGTGATGACCTGAAAATCAATATTGAGCAACTTTGTGTGAGTAAAATCACAAAAAATTCAGATAACCATGTGTCTGCGCAGTGTTGGCATGCCATTTTTTTAGTTTCATGTAGCCGCATAGGAAATTACTGGTTTTCTGTTCTGGAGGTTGGCAGCTCTTGGTCATTTTTCTTGAAGTTTTGAGGAATGCCTTCCAGTTTTTCAATCTGGTCGTCAAAATGATTTGAACAATTTTTCTCTTGTTTTTCATTGCTGCCATCACAAAAATTTGGGAACCTAGAAATAGCTAGCTTAAATAGCCTTTAGGACATGTATGTACCCCGGCATATGCCAGGGAATGGCTCGAAAATTACATCCAACTTGATCCAAGAGGCTACAATGGTATTTGGGGGCGTATTGGTGATAGCGAAAATTAATGGGATGTCTTATGGTGTAATTACCACATACTGCAAAACACATTGAGATTAACTGACACTCTCTATTAAACATCAAGTGCTCTTAAAGCCCCACTGTACTACTTGTACAGGTGTAGCTACTTGCTCCCTCTATGTATACAAAACAATGCATAATCAGTGCCTGTTGGTCCCCCATGATTCTCTTTTTCTTATGTTAATTGAGAGCTGAGTTGATGAGATATAGCCACCTGTCAGTGACCTTGTTGGGGGGTCTAATAATTTCTGTCCACACTAGTGCAGACAGGCTTTTAAGGCCATTTGTACTAGTGAATTGAATTGAATTTAATAATTGTGCTTTATTATGCAAAGATAAATATAAAGATATTACTGTTTTCATTTTACAGGATCTTGATTTGTTATGCCTAGGCTAGCCTCCCTTCAGTCTCTGTATCGCCTGAGCAGTCGATCCTCATCCTTCCTACCAGCGGCGGCCAATGTGATCCCATCTTCCTCCTACCAGTGGGGTCAACGACATACCAGATCAGTGGTAAGTGAGGTCAAATGTTGTATTCACACTCACATTTTGTTTTGGGTCAGCTCTGGGTCCAACCCAAGTATGAACTGGCTTGAACTCAGGGGGATGTTCACACCCACGATAAGAATATTTCAATTGATGCAGAAAAATGAGAGAAACAGACGGGTCTGTACCAACAAAAAGTTTGACAAAACTATGATGAACAATGAGAAAGTTATTTAGTTTTTGAATGATTGATTATCCCAACACAAACTGATTGAATCATTAGTTCAAAATCAAAATGAACCAAATGTTTCAGCCATCCTCTTATTGTTTAGGGTTTCTGACACTGCCAGTTTAGGTTGAGTGAAATGGATCATGCATTTAATACTTAATTCAGATGTCATGGAAGTTACCATTAATGAAAACTTTGCCATCAATGATGAGGCCAAGGTCAAAGAATATTAAAGCTTCTTGAATTTGCTAACTTGACTTGAAAACAATACATTTGTATCAAACCTTGAATTGAAGGGCGTAATTAACGTTATGTTAAAGTACAGTCCTGGTTCCAAACAGACAAGTTTCAGGCAACAAAATGTATAGGCCCCACAGTTGTTGATTTTTCGACAGACCTTCTATTTGGTATGTACTCCCAAATGCACTGTACTGGTACCCCAACTATTTTCATTCATGTAAAGGTGTTTTGTTAAAAAGAAAAATGTAGTACAGGAATAATTGTATTTCAATAGTCAGAATGCAAGTTCTATACATTAATTGTTGCTACATGTAGGCAGGAAATGGCCTGCCCTACCTAACAACACATGATGTATGTAATTTGCATTCTTACTTTTGAAATACAATTATTTGTAACAGGTGAATGAAATAATATGTAACGAGGCACTTCACAAAGACGTATGCATTAAATTTAGTTACATTAAAAAAATAGCTTATTCTTGGTCAGCAATTCCATTCATCAATCTATATAGCACAGTAGGTTGTAGATATAATATGCAGAGCTACCAAGTGTCACACATTATGCATGACAGTCACGCATCGAGGGTCTCGTACATATAATAGGGACTTTTAGATTTGCGTGGACTGATACTTAAGACGTCCATTCAAGGCAGTGCATTAAAAGGACGTCGACCGTAGCAATCCACATTGTCTTCGTGCGAATCTAAAAGTCCCTACTGAAGGCCATCATGTAGAGTTCATGTATATCAATGGACTTTGTTACTCAGTTTGTAACAAGTACATTAGTACGGTAGTATGTAGTACCGGTAGATGTATCAGAATACAAATTTACATGTAAATGACGTAGTTCATGGATCAGTAATTTCCTTGCATAATTTCAGTCAATTGCAGAAATATAACAGTGCCTAGATAGTCTGCATACCACAGACCCTAGTCAATCACTTTGATTGTCTTGAGTAAAAAATCTAGCAGATACTGTTGTTACAATGGCTCTCTAACGAATATAGCCCCCCCCCCCCTCCCTCCACAAAAAAAGATGCTGTATATTGCCCTTTAGGTGCCAGAACCTAGGTTGGTCGGTCAGATTTTTTGTTTTTAAACCCCCCCCCCCCCTCAAAATACAGCGACTACCACTATGAACATGACAGACAAAGAAAGCGGACAAAATATACAGTTCCTCAGGTAGACAAAGGAACATCCCTTCACTGCTATTATGTAAAATGGTGAATGTGCATGTGACACCTGTTCTACACATTTTTACATAATAGCAGTGAAGGAATGCTCCTTTGTCTACCTGAGGAACTGTATATTTTGTCCGCTTTCTTTGTCTGTCATATTCATAGTGTACGGTAGCTGTTGCCCAAAAAACTCAAAACCGGAAACTCGCCCAAATTTGGCTGGTGTCAAGGTGTTGAAGTGCATGGTATAACACACGCACACGAGGCCAGGTTCTACTTGTTAACGCTAGCAGGATTGTGGGCAACTTTAAAAAAAGCTATTGACCGGTATTAGACCAAATGATAGGTAGACAAAATGATTATGAGATCGTGCGGATATCATAGTAGACGGGCTGGGTGATATATATATATACTGGTAGACCATTTGGAAATGGACTAATTGGGTAGTAAACAAACTGGTTGTAGACCAAACAGCAATTCACCATAGTTACCAGTTACCACTACAAGGTATTAATTTTTGTGTAATTTGATCAGGGTCTGCACAACCAGACTACATGTAGCTCAGACCCAGACATTCATTGACCTTGTAGCTAGATTATTGTATTTGTACACAAAGGAACACACCCCTTTAAACTGGATCACATGGTATATACTGCACTAGCTGCCCTGCACAAATTTAGTTAGCTGCATGCCTTTCACTACAAAGAGGTTATTCATTCATACATTTGCAGAATTTGAGTGAGGAACAGAGGTATGTTTATAGTTTTTATTTAGGTGTTGGTTTTGAATTTGCAGGTTGTTGAGGGTAATAAAATACCTTGTACTCTGCATTGTATTGTTTTACTTTTAGTTTTACCTGTACCTTTATGGTACTGCAATCAGTGGAAGAATGCTGAGGCAGCAATCTTTAAAAAAAAAAAAAAAAAAAAAAATTTTTAGTCATCCATCATGATTCTTATTATGATCCATATACCGGTACATGAAAAGAGAAAATATTGGGTGAAAGAAGTTTAGCAGTAAAATCCTGTATATTTCTCCATTATCCTAATATGATTTTTATGAAATGAATATTTACAATCAACTGAATTGAAAGTAAATTTCAAAGACGTGTTGCCAGACAGTCAGTATGTACTAGCTAGTGTCTGGATCCGCTAAAGAAAGAAAGAATGAAAAAACTTGTGAAGTAGGGTCGACGTATGCATAGTGTACTTTTTATTGTATTACACATTTGTCAGCAGTCTTTGATCACATTTCACAAACTCAAACTCAAAGGTCATTCATGTATTTGAGGCAATGGCAAGCACTGGTTCACTACGTGGAGTAAAGAGTTGCAGTATTGTACTGCAATGGATAGCCACAGACAAGACCTTATGCTCTTGTTGTACACGTAGGCATATAATCATATAAAACCCAAAATGCACAGGTGTTGTGGATGTCATTTGAACCATCTGTGCAATCAGAAATTCAGAATCACAATTTTGATTGTCATTTTACTATTTTTCATTTCCCTGGTATTTGTTTCCCTGCATTAGTGCATTATCAAATTACTTACAATATCCTTATCTTGTTCTTTTATTTTCTAATTTTATTTTCGGTGAAGCTTCCCTTCTTTAGACTACACATTACATGTAGAGTCACTGTATCTCTGCTTTTTGTATTTCTTCTTTTCTCTTTCTCTTTCCCATTTCTCTTTTTTCCTCCAAAATCTTTGACTTCTCTTTGGTCCTTTGTTTCTTTGTTTCTTTGTTTCTTTGTTTCTCTGTTTTTTTGTTTCTTCTTTTTTTTCTTTCTTTCTTTCTCATTCTTGTTTTGGTTCTTTTCTCTCACTCATTTTGTTGCGTGTCTTCCATTTTTCCCAGTCCTCTTTCTATCTCCTGTTTTTCATCAACTTGTCACACATTCATTTGTTTGTTGTTTAATCAATTAATTTACTTATAAATTCATTCATTTATTCATTCATTCATTTATTAATAAGTATTATAATTTTTTCTTTTTCAAGGAAACCATGGCTAGCAGTAAGCTCAAGGCAGCTGAACACCTGAAGGGGTTGGAAGGGAGTGTGTGGTAAGTCCCATCGCTTTTCAATCACATCTATTACTTCCATAGCTTTGACATTTTCCAAAATCATTTTTATACATCTAGCTGCAGATGGTGTACACACTAGTGCTATTAAAGCGGGACTGCATAACTTGTAGCTACTTGCGCCCTCTATATAGCAAACCATGCCTAAGTGGTACCCGTTGGTCCCCCATGATCCCCTTTTTCTTATATTAATTGAGAGCTGATTTGATGAGTTATCCACCTGTCAGTGACCATGCAGGGAGGTCTAATCCCTCCTGGCCAAACTAGTGCAAACAGGCTTTAAATAGTATATTGACCGTGCAAGCTCTTCAATTTTTGATATATAAAACCTTTAAGTATAGCAATAAAAATGATTGGAATATATATTGATTCATTGGAAAATATTACTTTCTAATATATTATTGTCAGCAAAGCTATTAAAGTTAAGACCAATTTTTCTACAAATGTAGATGAACTTTTAAGACATTTGTATAAGAAGTTATGCAATACATAAGGTCACAGTGGGAATCTAGCTCAACAAGCCTAGCTTTTCTGAGATTCCCTTTTTTCCCCTCTCAGTTAAATCAAGCAATTTAAAATATGTTGTTTAATTCTCAAACATAAATGTACTTTGTAAACTTATTTGATTACGAACATACTTGTCAGTTTTTCGTTACTTGTATAATTCATTTGTTCTATTATATATTGTATTACTGTATGGTTTATAATTATATGTCATTTAATTTGTGGATATTTGAGTGGAAAATAAATAAATCAAATCAAATCAAAAATCAAAAAACAGTATAAAAGAGCATCAGTATTTCTTGACTGAATGAATAATTTTCTTCATTACTGAATGCTTGTCATCACTTTGATTGATGGAATCTACAGTGTATATGCATTTCTTGTATGATTAGATGAGCTGGTACTTGAGGTTGTATGAATATAATTGTGGTTTTAATTCTCTATTCGATACATGCAGGGTTGAATTTGTAAAGCTCACAACAGAGGAGAAAGCTATCAATCTTGGTCAGGTAAGAATAACAAATAATAAAATCATTTAAACTTTAAAAAATAGATAAATTATAAGTTAGTGCATGTACTCCTTCATCTAAAAGCAGTTAGGAAGTGCTTCTATTATTCTACAAGCTTGGCAAGGCTGTAATCTTTGCATTTTCATTTGTTACAGGTTATATTTAGATGAATAGCCTTTCAGAATTTGTTCATAATATGGTCCTAACTCCTAAGTCATAAAACTAGCTAACAATTTAGCATTCGCTGGATTTTGCTTTCATGTTCGGATATTCCAAGATTTTTCTACATCAAAAGATATTGTGATAATGCCACAAAAAGAATTAGCACTTTTTCTGTTCACCGAGTATTTTAATGACATCATTATTTTTTAATACCTATGTAATAGTATATTTGTAAAGCGCTTGGAGACATTTGTATTAAACGCTATATAAAAATTAAATATTATTATTATTATTATTATTAAATATTTTTACAGGGTTTTTCACACTTCAAATCTCTTGAGGCCCTGTCTTCATGAGTATGAAGTTTCAAAATAACCCGCTATTTTCAGACTCTGAATATATTCCCGAAGCTCGAAATTGTGTCTTCACCAGACCGATACGCTCATCACAAACAAGATGGAAGACGGGCGCAAATAAGCCTGCTACACATATATGTCAGTAATTTGATATTATCACATTAACTAGCATTTCAATTCAATTAATTCAATGTGGTTTACAGGGTTTTCCAGACTTTGCTCCTCCCAACTCCGTCACGCAAGCCTTGACTGAGATCCTCGCACCGGGTTCCAATCCTCTTATGAACCAGTACACAAGGTCATACGTGAGTAAAAGCTTGTTCACGTTGAAATACTTTCACGCTTCCAAAATAAATGTGTACCTTTACAATATTTAGTTATTTTGTGTCCTTTTTTATGATCCTATCTATAAACTTGAAAATTTAAGTCATTTAGTTATCTGCTGTGGACCTTCATGGCCCTGTTTCATAAAACTTGTGATCGATAACAAATGCTAACTTTCTATGATCATCTTTTTCATTAATACTTGCTGAGTTTATATTTACATCTGAAATTTTATCTTTATTCCTTCTGGTATATCATATTTATACCATGTAATGATGTTTTCATGCATATGTATGTCTTTATATGTATTTTTATGTCATGCAGGGCCCCCAAGTATGACAGCTTTTTAACTACTGGTGGGGCTACCCTGTTGAAATAAAATGAAATAAATAAATAAATAAATACAAAAATCTTTTGTTACAGGGTCATGCCAGGTTGGTGAATGCCATCGCAGCTATGTACAGCAAGTTCATTGGGCGTGAAGTAGACCCCATGACTGGTGTACTGGTATCGGTGGGTGCATACGGGTCACTCTACTATGCAATCAACAGCCACGTCAACCCTGGTGATGAGGTGAGTTAAGATGAGGAGGAGGAGGGAGAAGAGGAAAAGGGGGATGAAGGAGGATGATGATGATGATGATGATGATGATGATGATGATGATGATGATGAAGAAGAAGAAGGTGGTGGTGGTGGTGGTGGTGGTGGTGGTGGTGGTGATGATGATGATGATGATGATGATGATGATGATGATGATGATGATGAAGAAGAAGAAGAAGAAGGTGGTGGTGGTGGTGGTGGTGGTGGTGGTGGTGGTGGTGGTGGTGGTGGTGGTGATGATGATGATGATGATGATGATGATGATGATGATAATGATTAAGAAGAAGGTGGTGGTGGTGGTGGTGGTGGTGGTGGTGGTGGTGGTGGTGGTGGTGGTGATGATGATGATGATGATGATGATGATGATGATGATAATGATTAAGAAGAAGGTGGTGGTGGTGGTGGTGGTGGTGGTGGTGGTGATGATGATGATGATGATGATGATGATGATGATGAAGATGAAGATGATGATGATGATGATGATGATGATGATGACAATGGTGATAGAGATGATGATAATGACAACGATGATGGAGATGATGATGATAGTGGTAGTAATGACGATGATTGATGATGATGAAGAAGATGATGCTGGTATTGATGACAAAGATGATGTTAGTGGTGGTGATGATGGTGCTGATATTGATAATGGTGATGATAATGGTGGTGATGGTAGCTGTGATGATCGTGATAATGGTGATGATGATGATGCTGGTTTACTAGTGCACAAAACTATAATTCTTTCTAATGTTACATTAAAGTAACCATACTCTAATACAACAAAATTTAAACTCCTACAAATTACTAATTATTCCTTTCAAACCTCTGATTGATTCGATATCCAGGTGATCATCATTGAGCCGTTCTTTGACTGCTATGAACCGATGGTCAGGATGGCTAGAGGTGTCCCAAGATTTATCCCTCTTAGACCGGTAAGATTTTAACAATGGAACAGATTGTTTACTGTATACTGCATAACGGAAAGTTTTGATGATTTCATGGGTGGTTTCAATGTGTAAAAGCTTCATGCTTCAGAGTAAATAAGTCTTAAAACAGTACGGTATATGGCAAGTCATAAAATTTCCTGGTAGAAATACTTCTGTTCTGTATTGTTTATAAAGAATCCATTCGCCACAGGAATTTTGGAATAATGAATTGATCAATTATTTTCCTGCAAATTGACGGTTGGATTGCCCTTTAAAAGCGATTTATATATCAAGCACTGGAAGGAGATCAACTTCCCGCTTCGTGTAACGGGATAGACGGCCGGTGACTTCTTGATGGTCACTAGAATTACCACTATGAATGTACATGAATATGTGTTGTGTTCATCTTTTGAATATGCAGAAAACATAATGCTTTAGATATCACAGTTTTGTACTGAACATTCTGTTTATTTATTTATTGTTTTATACCTACAGAAAAATGAGGGCGTAACATCAACCAGAGATTTCTATCTCGACACGGAGGAGCTTAAGGGTCTCTTCAACAAGAAGACGAAAGCCATCGTCGTCAATAATCCCAATAACCCACTTGGAAAGGTAGGATGGAACACAGTGTTGCCAATTTAATAGAACGAGGCAGGCTTAATACAATCCAAGCCGATCACAATCTAGTTGTTTCGTCAGCAGCATTTTTGTTGTTCTAGTGTTCTAGTGTATGCGGCACCAGCTTGTGGATCACACGTTTCCTAGTTTGAGCCTCTGCACCAATGGCAAGACATTGATTTGCCACTCTTCACCCAGGTGTAGTAAATGAATACCGGTAGGAATATATTCAGTACCAGACATGCTTTTAAATTACATTACGTACTTGACTGTAGCACTACAATCTAGTCACTAGCCCAGAATGTTATTATTTTCAAATTGATAGATTTTGATATTATTTTTAATGATATCTGTGTCTGCTCATGCAAAGACTGTTACTTTGAGTTTGCTAGTTGTTCAGTAAAATAAAATTTAGGAGGAAGCCTTATATTCATTATGTAGTTTTCAAAATGACTGCCCAACACATTTTCTAGGATGGCTCGTTCTCCTTTCTTTTTTCCCAAATGGGCACCAATTGGTGGCTTTCAATGGCTTAATACATGCAGAACCAGAACGCTGTTATCAAGCATTTCTGTTCATTTTTTTGTACTTGTTCGGAGGGGCCTGCATGGTTTCAATTTAAAAACCAGTCAGTAGCTCTCAAAATGAAAGCGGGGTGTCAATTTATACAGATTTGTAAAGATTTTCTTCTTATCATTGCATACATGTGTAGATCTTCAGTGAAGAAGAGCTAACAGTGATCGCTGACCTGTGCAAGGAACACGATGTCATGTGTATCAGCGATGAAGTCTATGAACATCTCGTCTACTCAGGCAACAAGTTCACAAGAATGGGTGGGTATGATATGCAACTAAAGACAAAGATGCTACACATACAACTATATGCAGAGAGCCAGAAGGAGTTAACTCATATCACTTTCCACAGAGTTAACGCCCTTCTGGCTCCAAACAGACAACATACATGTACTCTCTCTGTGGAGGAATTTATTTTTAGGTTTTTTTTTTACTCTTTCGCTGTAAAGGCTGCACCCCAACTTTTTGATATTTTCTCTTCCAAAAGTACTGCGGCCTTTACGCCGGCAAATACGGTAAATTGATCACATATTGTCCTTCAAATTGGCAACAATAATAATTTTCTTTTATTGCTACATTGTTCTAATAAATTGTAATGTCTCTGAATACAATATATATAATTATATGGGAAGGAATGTTGTTGAAAAGTTGAAAAATTTCAAGTTTTGATAAAAAAGCAATGGTTTTCAATTTCTCAATGTTTTGCCAATTTAAGGATTCTAAAGATTATTTTCCTTTTCGAAATTCCAGATATTAAATGCAAGATATTCATGAAACAATAAAATGGATGCAGTATGTGCAGAATCCCCCCCCCCCCCCACTTTCTACTCATGCATCTGGCATGTTTTTGTAAAGATCTGAATCGAAAGTTATTGAGCCAAACAACAAAATATAGAATGATTGTCACAAAAGAGTTAATACCTTTCTGGCTTTCAATGTAATGTGTGTTTGATGAGTGGTCTAAATAACCAGAAGGGTCTGGAATAAAAACCAAGTTGTTTTCCCCAATGCCCTTCAGTTATGCATTGATACTCACTGACATGCCTAATCTCTGATATAGAACTTCAAATGTCCCCTAGGTTCTTAGAATTATATCCAAGCATATTAATTTTCAGCGGGCTGAAATAAACAACATGAACAAAAATATCAAATATATAATGATGTACAATGGTTTCATTTTCTTTCGACTTGTTGGACATGCTTTTCTATCAGTCTGAATTCTTCTAACCATTTTCAACCATTTTTATCATTGTCTCTTTTGATATAACAGCATCCTTGCCCGGTATGTGGGACCGTACAATCACAGTGTGCAGCGCAGGAAAAATATTCAGTGCTACAGGGTGGAAGGTACATTTTTAAACATTTTAAATGCGGAGAATATTTATTTATTTTTAATCTGTCTACTGTACCTGTATCCTTAGTAGATTTTCCCAACTTTTTACGTATTCTCTGCCTCATCTTTCTCCTCCTCTCCTCTTCTCTTCTCTACTCTCTTCCTTCTCTCGTCTTGTCTCATATCTCCTCTCTCCCCTTCTCTTCTCTCCTCTCTCCCCTTCTCTTCTCTCTCCCCTTTCTCTTCTCTCCTCTCTCCCCTTCTCTTCTCTACTCTCTCCCCTTCTCTTCTCTCTCCCCTTTTCTCTTCTCTCCTCTCTCCTCTTCTCTTCTCTCCTCTCCCCCCTTCTCTTCTCTCTCCCCTTTTCTCTTCTCTCCTCTCTCCCTTCTCTTCTCTCCTCTCTCCCCTTCTCTTCTCTCTCCCCTTTCTCTTCTCTCCTCTCTCCTCTTCTCTTCTCTCTCCCCTTTCTCTTCTCTCCTCTCTCCCCTTCTCTTCTCTCCTCTCTCCCTTCTCTTCTTACTCCCCTTTCTCTCCTCTCCTCTCTCCTCTTCTCTTCTCTCCTCTCTCCCCTTCTCTTCTCTCCTCTCTCCCCTTTCTCTTCTCTTCTCTCTCCACTTCTCTTCTCTTCTCTCTCCACTTCTCTTCTCTTCTCTCTCCCCTTCTCTTCTCTCCTCTCTCCCCTTTCTCTTCTCTCCTCTCTCCCCTTTCTCTTCTCTTCTCTCTCTACTTCTCTTCTCTTCTCTTCTCTCCCCTTCTCTTCTCTCCTCTCTCCCCTTTCTCTTCTCTCCTCATTCCCCTTTCTCTTCTCTTCTCTCTCCACTTCTCTTCTCTTCTCTCTCCCCTTCTCTTCTCTCCTTCTCCCCTTTCTCTTCTCTCCTCTCTCCCTTCTCTTCTCTCCTCTCTCCCCTTCTCTTCTCTCTCCCCTTTCTCTTCTCTCCTCTCTCCTCTTCTCTTCTCTCCTCTCTCCCCTTCTCTTCTCTCCTCTCTCCCCTTTCTCTTCTCTTCTCTCTCCCCTTCTCTTCTCTTCTCTCTCCCCTTCTCTTCTCTCCTCTCTCCCCTTTCTCTTCTCTCCTCTCTCCCCTTTCTCTTCTCTTCTCTCTCCCTTTCTCTTCTCTCCTCTCTCCCCTTCTCTTCTCTACTCTCTCCCCTTCTCTTCTCTCCTCTCTCCCTTTCTCTTCTCTCCTCTCTCCCCTTCTCTTCTCTCCTCTCTCCCCTTCTCTTCTTACTCCCCTTTCTCTCCTCTCCTCTCTCCTCTTCTCTTCTCTCCTCTCTCCCCTTCTCTTCTCTCCTCTCTCCCCTTTCTCTTCTCTTCTCTCTCCACTTCTCTTCTCTTCTCTCTCCACTTCTCTTCTCTTCTCTCTCCCCTTCTCTTCTCTCCTCTCTCCCCTTTCTCTTCTCTCCTCTCTCCCCTTTCTCTTCTCTTCTCTCTCCACTTCTCTTCTCTTCTCTTCTCTCCCCTTCTCTTCTCTCCTCTCTCCCCTTTCTCTTCTCTCCTCATTCCCCTTTCTCTTCTCTTCTCTCTCCACTTCTCTTCTCTTCTCTCTCCCCTTCTCTTCTCTCCTTCTCCCCTTTCTCTTCTCTCCTCTCTCCCTTCTCTTCTCTCCTCTCTCCCCTTCTCTTCTCTCTCCCCTTTCTCTTCTCTCCTCTCTCCTCTTCTCTTCTCTCCTCTCTCCCCTTCTCTTCTCTCCTCTCTCCCCTTTCTCTTCTCTTCTCTCTCCCCTTCTCTTCTCTTCTCTCTCCCCTTCTCTTCTCTCCTCTCTCCCCTTTCTCTTCTCTCCTCTCTCCCCTTTCTCTTCTCTTCTCTCTCCCTTTCTCTTCTCTCCTCTCTCCCCTTCTCTTCTCTACTCTCTCCCCTTCTCTTCTCTCCTCTCTCCCTTTCTCTTCTCTCCTCTCTTCCCTTCTCTTCTCTCCTCTCTCCCCTTCTCTACTCTCCCCTCTCCCTTTCTCTTCTCTTCCCCTCCCACTCTTTCTTTCTCACCCCTTCTCCTCATCTCTCTCTATCTCATCTTCCTTCTTTCAGAGTATTAAAAGTGATTTGTTATCAAATTGAACTGCATTGGAAATCAATTTTTATAGATGTATTCAGTAGACAATTAACGCTTTTAAAAAGATACGACCTAAGGAAATTCTAATGTTATAGATTCTATCGTTATAGATTCTATCAAATTAGAAACGTTTCTTCCTTTTTCCAGCTTGGATGGAGCATTGGACCCCAGCATCTGATCAAGAACAGCCAGACCCTTCATCAGAACTGTGTCTATAATTGCCCAACACTGATCCAGGTATGTGGCACTATACAAATATACATGTTCCTCATATCACTGAAAATTTGATTAATGTGATTTTGATCAATTGAGTCTTTGAGAATAGCAACTTGTGACAAAACTCTGAAGATTGCTTAAATATGTTTTTTGAAATTGAATAATAGCCTTATCTACTTGCAAAGTTGAATTAAAGTGACTCAGTAATATAGTCTCAGATTTTGAAACAAAATCCTGGATTTAGCTCATGCTGCAATGATAATTATAAACCTTTAGGCCAGTCAGGAACCCCATGACATTTACAAGCTGATCGCCTGTCTGATTATTAATATATTTTTGATTGGAAATCGAAATTTCATTTTTCGTTTTCCTAACGGTTTTTATAACACTACAGTCTATTGGGAAAAATGAGTACCGGTATGGTAAAACCGGTCACTTAAACATTTTTTACTTTTTTGAGGCACTTCATGATCATTTTGAAGCGCAACTTTTGTCTCGCCTGCGTAGCAAAAAGCGAGACATAGCTAGCGCCGCTTTTCTGGTGACGGTGACGGCGGCGTCAACATAAGTATAAGTTCTTAGTCAATAGAAACTTTGACTATAGGGTAATCAAGTATCCCCAATCATGGGAGTAGAATTTCAGATCACAAAGTCAAGGTCAAAGGTCATTTCAGGTCAACAGACTTGGACTATGTTGTAGCATCATCATCGAAAAGTTAACCTAAGGTTAAGTTTTTGAATTTTTGATACAATTTTGAAAGTATAACTTCTTAGTCAATGAAACTTGGACTAAAGGGTTATCAAGTCTCCCCAATCATGTGAGTAGAATTTCAGGTCACTAAGTTAAGGTCAAAGGTCATTTAAGGTCAACAAACTTCGAATTTGTTGTGGCATCAACATCAAGATTTTCAAAATGCTTCTTCTTCGTTATTTTTCAACCAATTTTGATTCTGATTGTTTCATATGATAGGGCTAGGAGGGGGATTTAAAATTTCTACACAGAATTGTAAAAATTCATTATCTATGCTAATTTATGCAAATTTATTCGAAATCACAAAAAAGGCTTCTTCTCCTTCATTTCTCGACCAATTTTGATTTGGTTTGCTTTATATCGTAGAGCTAACTGTGGTACACTAAACTTCTACACAGAATTTTGAAATTGTTCTCCATTAATTAATTATGGTAATTTATGCAAATTTATTCCAAAAATAACAAACATTGCTTCTTTTCCCTCATTTCTTGACCAATTTTGATTTGGTTTGCCTTATCTGGTAGAGCTAAATTTGGAACACTAAACTTCTACACAGAAGATTTTGCTCCATTGATTATTTATGGTACTTTATGCAAATGAAATGAAATTATGTCCCTTCCAGGGCATCAAATTTTTATTTTTTGATCAGTTCAAACGTGTACCACATAAAATTTACGATATTTGTTGTTGCGAGATGCGAATGAGTGCTACGTCATTGACGTTCTGGTTTATCATATTGAATCGCGTTATGCAGGCAAGACCGCCGAGAGCGTGTCCCTTGTTTTTGTTTAGGGCTTCAATATTACACCATATCACAGACACTGGTAACACGTAGGGCCGTGCATCTCAGATTTAACATTGTTAAATGATGCCTTTAAGGCTGAAAATATAGTTTTCTTTTATTTGAACCGTTTGCAGGAAGCCGTAGCTCGGGGCCTGGAGCTGGAGTTCTCCCGCCTGGGCCAGCCCGAGTGCTACTTCCTGGAGCTTCCGAGGGAGCTGGAGGAGAAGAGAAACAAGATGGAAAAGGTCCTCAAAGAGAGCAGCTTCATCCCCATCATCCCCGAGGGCGGTTACTTCATGATGGCCAAGTACGGTCATCTGGGTGAGTTTACTTTTTCACATGTTTCTGAAAGGTTTCTAGGCATTGAATGTTTTGAATGTCACTTGGCAGCTTGTTTCAGAGGACTGGTGCAACATGCGCAAATGCACGATCCCCATAATGGGTTGTTCTGGTTCTGGGAACTTCTAGGATGGTAGAGGCAGAAGAACGAAGCGAGTAGTGGGATTGCTTTATGGTGAGGAGATCTTTCAGGTACTCAGGTGCAGTCTTGTGGACTGCCTTAAAGACAAGCGTTAGGATTTGTATTCAATCCGTTTTTGAAGTGGGAGCCAGTGGTAATGTCTTAGCATTGGAGTGATGAGTTCACTCCTCTTCACTCCTCTGCCAGAACTCTCGCAGTGTTGTATAGAACTCTCTGCAGTCTAGAGATTGAAGAATTTGATAGACCAACCATAGCTGCATTATAAAAGTCATGATGTAACTTGGACAAGTTACGTTACATCATGTCGAGGTGTCTGTGTTTGCTGAAGTCCTGTGACTGCTTAGCCTTCCATATGCGACAGGAACCTGTTCATGTTCTGTTATTGCTGTTGTCTATACTTTTCATGTCTCGCAAACTTTCATAGCTACATGTATACATAGAAAAGAGAATGTTGGCAATTTGAAGACGAACAACTGATCAATTTGTATTTTGTTAGTTTATATAATACACCTAACCCTTTTTAAATGTCATTGCAGGTGTGGATGTAAGTGCATACGGCGACGGGCCACAGGACTACAAGATGGTACGCTACCTCACAAAAACACAGGTAAGAGCTAGTCTCCAAGTGCTGTGTTTCATTTGATCCAAATTCACGATTATATTAATTACACCTATGGTAAATTTGACTCTTGTTATGCAACGTTAAGTTCAACCAATCAAACTGGTGTAATTTGGACTTCTCTTGGTGTGCACGAGACTTTACACCCATTTAATGTATATTTTAAGTCTGGTGTCAAAATTGTAAACTTCTGCACATGGCAGCTGACGGCCATCACCATAAAGACCCTATCCTATGAAGATACGACTTGAAATAAATGGGAAACTGAATGAATGTAGAATACAAATATAGAGGAATAAAAGTATTTACCCTTTAATTATGGCACAAAAACCGCATTTTCTGCATCCCCTCTAAATTACGGGTCAAAATTGAGAGGTTCTGAATCATTACTTTGATCAAAATTGCCAATTTTCTCAACTTTTTGACAAAATCCATACACATAAATATTGTTGAACAATATGTAACAATAAAAGAAAAACATAATTTTTGCCAATTTGAAGAACAACATTTGATCAATTTAGCCCTTTGAATAAATCCTTTTCTGAGTATTTTTATTGAGTGATTTTGATTTCATCTGTACACACAGGGCGTAGCCACTATACCCTGCAGTGCATTCTACAGTGCTGAGCACAAGAGCCTAGGAGAGCCATACATCCGCTTCTGCTTCATCAAGGTGAGAAATAACTATTAATTAGAATTCACAGAATGTTTAAAGGGATTCGGTAACATTGCCTCAGATTCTGAAATAAAATCCTGGATTTAGTTCATCCTGCAATCATAATTATAAATCTTGAGGTCAGTCAGGAATCCAGTGACTTTTACAAGCCGATCGCCTGTCTGATTATCAAGATATTTATGATTGGAAATCAGAACCTAACAGTTTTTATAACACTACAGTCTATTAGAGGAAAACAAGTATGGTAAAACCGGTCACTCAAAGACTTTTACTTTTTTGAGGCACTTCATGATCATTTTGAAGCGCAATTTTTTTAGGGCTTCAATATTACACCATAACACAGACGATGATAACACGTAGGTTCATGCATCTCAGATTTGGCATTGTTAAAGGGATCCGGTAACTTTGTCTCAGATTCTGAAACAAGATTCTGGATTTAGCTCATGATGCAATCATAATTATAAACCTTTAGGTCAGTCAGGAACCCCGTGACTTTTACAAGCCGATCACCTGTCTGATTATCAAGATATTTATGATTGGAATTACAAATTTTGAAAACCGTTCGCCTGACGGTTTTCACAACACTACAGTCTATTGGGAAAAACGAGTATGGTAAAACCGGTCACTCAAAGATTTTTACTTTTTTGAGGCACTTCTTGATCATTTTGAAGCGCAATTTTTTTAGGGCTTCAATATTACACCATATCACAGACACTGATATCATGTAGGGCCGTGAATCTCAGATTTAACATTGTTAAACGATCCCTTTAAACAATGCCTTTAGATACATAGATCATTTCACTGGGCTCACTAGTGACAGCAAATTATAACCAGATTGAATTAAATGGAGAGCCTTGAATACCTGACACGGGTAAAGGTTCACATACCTATAGCAAGCAAGCATATTAGAATGTTTAATGATTTTTTTCCCCTCTATTTTTCTGTTTGTTTTCAATTTCTCAGGAGGACTGCACCATCGACAAAGCAGCTGAGAAGCTCAAAGCGTTCAGCAAGTCCCTAAAGGCTTAAACAATGGCTGAGCACCTGTAACTGTAGAAAACAGAATAGAGGATATTTTTTCTTTTTTGCTCATGTATAGACATTGTAATTATACAAGAGTGTAAGGGCAGGCATCACGGACGAGAATCTTAGGCTGCATCAATTCTCCGGATAAAGACATGAATATACAAACGAGAATACAATTTGTTGAGCGGCATTTAAATAATACCTGGCATCTTTCAACATTCATATTGGTCATTGTTATTTTTGGAGAAATAAACAAGAACAAAATCGACTGAAAAGAAAATCTAAAAGGAGTCTGGTAAATGAGAGTACATCTCAACATGGGCAACTCTATGTGCGGCCAGAGAACGGACGCAGTTGGAGATTCTCGCCCGTGATACTGGCATACAGGCACATGTGGTGTCGTGTTGTCAAGTGCCATAGGCTTCCAATGTCCTTGTACTTTTCTTGGGTTACCGGTATACAAGAACATTTTTGTTAAAAGTTCCTGAGTGATTGATTTGAACATGGCAAATGAAATTAGGAATCACTTGCCTCTTTAATAGCAATCATGGCTTCGTAACCTCAGGTCAGAGAAGAAATTTGAAAGTAACTGCCATTGATGGATTTTTAATTTAAATAATGTGAGAGTTTCTAGAAATTGAAAGCTGTAAGGATAGTCCGGCAGCCATCTCGATATACCTTGTTTTAGGGTCTATAGTTTTTTTTTCTTCGGATTATAGTCCCTTAGACCATCAATTTGAAGAATTCGATTGCTGACACTCTGTCAGCATTGAGCAATTTGAGATATGTGACGTCATACAAAATGGCCGCCAAAATCCCGTTTTTAACCAAAATTAATGATATAAAAAGTTTTAACAGCATTTTACTACATTAAATGGCAGTCAAATATCTTGATTTTTTTCTAGAATCATCACTAAATAAAAATTGCGATGCTGTATGATCACAAATGATATGCAAATTTGCATAATTCGGAATGGCGCCCTCTATAGACACATTAACTTGCATAGGTCAAAATGATGGCCAATTACCAATTTCTAACATGAGATTATCATATGTCATGAGTCAGATGCACTGGATACAGTGAGTAAAGATTGTGCTGCACATTTTTTTTATTTTGTAATTTGATACTCGAAGAAAACACGGTTGAATTTTATGCTCTCTGTCCCATAGATATGAGGTGGCATATGGTGATAAATGCCCATTTTCAGTGACAGCGTTAAGAAACTAGATTTGTATTCTAAGGTACTAGATTCTTTTAAATTAACCTAAAAATTACGAACTACCACTACGATACAGGACTATATCCGTTTATAAGTTTGCTTCAAAATCTTGAAATTTGTTTAAAAGCCCTCTAAAGTGTTGGGAACCCTAAAATATTCCATGCGGAAGAGGGTGTCATTTAACACTTAATTCTGCAAAGTAAGGTCGTGACTGTAATGCGTGCTTCCACACGCATGTTTGCAAATGAGTTCTCTTAACATTTTCTACAAACGCTTCAGTAGTTTGAGGTGAGGCAAGGTTTGGGGGTATTTGGAGCTCCTAGTCTTCGGACCCTTGATAGCCACACGTTGATACGAGCCTCTGACATTCAGTTGGTTGTTGACTGTCCATAACATAAAGCAAAGCATTGAGTAGGTTGAGTGATGACATATGACCATGCTGCATCAACTGCCAACTCAGTCCTAAGGGAGTCGAATCTTCTGCTTCATCACTTTCAGCATTGTACCCTATCCAATGCCAAAGTATGCCCCAAGAGTGTCGCATCCCGTCAACGCATGTCCTGCCAACATCGATGGAATGATATCTCCTAACTTGTCTACATTGGCAGGAACATCAATAACAGTTCGATTTGTGAAGGGGCGTCTCCATGGTCATTGGCGTTTTATAAGTCCGTCATGTAGATATGCAAAAGTAGTACGTAGACGTCTGTGTCATCCACTAGGACCCTAACATACATCTTCTCATTAGCATCAATTCCAATCGCTTGCTGTTCTTTGATGTTGTCTGCTTCATCATAACTATGTTGTGGACAGACGTTTCCTTGGCATGACATCACTGCCTGGAATCACTTCAACAAGAACCTCATCTTGACGGTAAAGGACTGCTTGTGCTTTTGCCTATTTCTGAGCACCCAATCATCCTGCAGACTCGCGCATATAATTATGATGTCGATCAACTGTAGTTTGTTGTCATGAAAAGATAGTGAAGTTAGCAACACTAGAGACACGTTTCAACAACTTCTCTCCCTAGCTTTATTGATCTTTCCAAAGCTTTTGACTGCGTACAACATAAACGCCTATGGAAGATTATGAGCTAGATGGGCTTTCCAGCACATATAATTCAACTCATCCAGTCGCTCTACCAATACCAAGAAGCAACAGTAAGAGCAGAGAATGGCGACACCGAAAGGTTCACTATTGGTCAAGTTGTCCGTCAAGGCTGCAACCTATAACCATAAATTTTCAACATCTATGCTGAATTCATCATGAGAAAGGCATTTTATGGTCAAGTTTCTGTTGGTGGACGAACGATCACCAACCTAAGATACGCCGACAATACAACACTCTCTGGCGTATTAATGTGGAAGGGTATGGGGGGGGGGGGGTTGGGGACAGTTGAACCCCCAAACAAAATTCAAACTTTTTTTTTTTATATATTCGATACCAGTGATTTACAAATGTTGCTGAAATGACATGATTTTCCTGGGTTTTTTCTCACTTTTTAGTAAATTATTATTTGTTAAGCGTATGTTGGAAAATGACAAATCCTAAATCCACAGTCAAGCAAAAAATATGCTTATTTAAAAGCCTACATGTCAGGGTCCGCAGAAAAGCGGGGCTTAGGGGACTTGAGCCCCACTCACTTTTTGTATAAAGTATGTTAAAGAGAACTAGAAAGAAAGAAAGAAAGTGACCCGAGGTGAAATGAGGTATCAAAATATGTTCATCTTACAGTTAATAAATGCCTGAAACCCTTGAGCTTCCGGGGGCTATGCCCCTTGAACACCACGCCAATTTGCGCTCCTCTCTTCCTGATCGTAAATACTTCAACCCCCCCCCCCCCCACCCCCGCTTTAAAAAAAAAGTTCCGCGGGGCCTGCATGTAACATGTATGAGTGGTGGTGATGCAGATTGTTCTTCTGCCCCTCTTAGTGTTTTTGCTCAGTATTCCACTGACAACACTTATAACAGGAACATCAGAAGAACTACTAGAACTCCTTAAAAAAGAGTGAAGGATGCAAGTGAATAATTTGGACCCTACCTCAATGTGAAAAAGACCAAGATCATGATTGGTGGAAATTAACTACATGCAACAGAGCATGGTGGTTGATGGAGAAGAAGTTGATCAAGTGGACAAGTTCATATAATGTTCTTGGGTCAATGATTGTCAAGGAGGGTGGAAGCTCGGCAATATCTGCCTTTGAAATGTGGTGTTGGAGGAAGCTACTTGGGATATCATGAAGAGATTACAACACCAATGGACACAATTAATGTCCATCATCGGAGATCAACCGCCACTTGCTACCAGGATTGACAAGTACAAGCTACAATACTTTGGTCACGTTAGCAGAAGATCAGGAGACAACCTTGACAAATTATCATTCAAGGTACCTTTGAAGAAACACGTAACAAAGGAAGACTCAAGCTCAGATGGACTGACGACCTTAAGGAAATCACTAGCCACCCTCTAAATACTAAAGACACTCTACCGGATTGCAGGAGACAGATGCCGATCAAAAGGTCTCATAAAACGGGTCACAAGGGTGAGCCATGATCTATATGACAACGACGACGACGACGAACAGTAAGAGATAGTTTCTTGGAGGGCAGCAGTGACGCGGGACTGAGTTGGAAGACTCTCGACCCGTTATGACCTCTAAATACTCTCTCGGATCTGTCAAACACCAAGCAAACATCATCAGATTTTCATCCACAGCAGAGCACAACCATCAATGACTGTACAAGGTTGTTTCAGTGTCTCATGCCTGGCTGACATCTCAACTTTTGTCAAATTCTATAAGTCCGTCTTTGACATGGGAGTGCTCTTTTCCAGAATCATCAAAAAGTGCTTTTGGGACTGGTGAAAGCTCTTATGACAAAATGTCCTTGACATTGACCTCTCTTGAACTTGTCTGCAGTCCTATTACTCTGGAGTAGATCAACTTTTCACAGACTTTGTACCCCAACATTGACTTCTTCATGGCTGCCACGGTTTGAACATTCTTGGAAATTGTGACATAGAATCCACCAGGTAATTTCTGTTGAAAATCATGCATCTGTCTAGTATAGATGTCAACTGCTTTATCCACATTCACTGGCGTTGGAGCAATGCTGGTCTAAATAAAGCCTATTAATTGAATAATAATGTGTGCCGTAAAACCACTTCTCACCGATTTGTTGAAAAATAAATTCTTTCATAGCCATTTTTTTCTTGACATATGTAGGGTAGGTGTAGGGAATTGGAGACCACCAAGCTTGAACCCATCACTGTCTGTCCGTGTTGGCTCCAATATTGATATAGCGACATATGTTGCCTTCAACAACACTACTGCATATATCCAATTCATTTCGAAGACTACAGTGCGTTCTCTCTACGAGAAAATTGGCAAAATTGACCAAGATAAGCAATTTTGATCGTAAAATTTTGCTCTGATATAAAAACACAATTTTCACTGAATGTTGTGGTGTATGCAGATATTTAGGGGTGGCTCTTAAAAAAAATAGTTTTAAAAGGAAGTTTATGAAATGTGCCAACCATCACAGAAAGCGTATGGCCACTGTGTGTTGTGAATGGGTGTTGCAATTCACATTATGAATGGTGTCTGATCAGAAATGTGTGTAGGTAATGGGGGACACCAGGTCCAAGATGGGGGCTTACTTCTCCCCAGTTGTCCATTTCATGTTGAAAGGCACTATCATGAAACATATTTGGTTGTACGTGTCACCATTCTAATTTGAATGCATTCAATTTTAAGAAGTTGTTTCTATGCTATGAGTTTGATAAATGTAAAAGTCATATTGCCAGAACATTATTCTGAAAGTATTTAAACATATTTGAGAGCACCTTTATTACTGTAAACAAAAAACTACTGAAATATTTTGGGCCCCATTGTTTTAAAATCGTTTCAAAATTACAGTAAGTTCATTGGCTGCATGTATATCTTTCAAAAAGTGTTTGAACTAACTATAACAATCCCATTTTCATTCAAATTGTATTTAAAATGTCTTGAATTGTAACTGTCCCTTAATACCTACACATGTAGGTAATGAGAGACCTTTGGTGATGACGTCATTAATCATTGTTATCTTATTAAATGAGTTACATCATCACCACAATTTCGTTACCAAATAAAGAGAAAAAATACTAAAGAGAATACAAAAATGTCTGTATGTGTAACATTGTTCATGTTTATGTAAATTATGCAAATCTGCTTAAGGGGCTTCCATTCCCCACACCTACCCTATCTAAATTTGTACCAAACACGATGAAAGATTAATGCAGCACAACTGCAATTGTTTCCCCCCAAAAGCATTTAATATGATTTCAACGTGACATAGATTTAAGAAATTGGCATTTGGCTGGCACACATATTTTATTCAAATTA